TATGTTTTTGGAGCAGAGAAAAGTACAAAAGGGTTAGTGAGTGTTAAATTGCCTCTTAGCTGGAAAAACAACACCTTTCCATCTGAAACAGGTGCGCCAATCACAGTTATGATAACAACACTGTATTACTGTCTTGTTCATGCTCCTCAAATCTGCAGCCAGAGGCAGATGGCATGGATTTTTGTAAACTTGTACAGTGATGACGGAAATAAATAATACAAGCCAGGAAGCGCACAGATGTGCAAAGTTAATTTCAAGGTCAGGAGACCTGTCGGAGCTTTGTTTTCTGCGAGTTGCTGCTGAATCATAAATATTGGGCCTGTACCCTGCAACGCCAAATGCATCCTGCAGGAAATGTACACGCGACACAGTTACGTTTGCTGTAAGAGGACTCGAGTCAACTCGGTTATATATATATATATAACCAATATTTCCCTTATGAACTACAATTTGAAGAATTCCAACACAATAACAATTCCAACACCATGTAAAAAACAGAACATCCCATGGGGTGTCTATACATATATATATATATATATATATATATATATATATATATATATATATATATATATATATATATATATATAAAACATACATACTTATAATTTCAAATTGAACTTCTGTTATTACTGCAGCCCACCTGCAGTACCATCACAGCCAGGGAGTCAGTGAGTTAGACAACCATCTTGCATGCATAGCCACATAAAAAAATCACCATAACTCTGATGCTTGAGTCATGACTGACGATTTACACTATATACATGTTTTTCTGGTCCCACATTGTCGGACATACTGATGTGAAATTTAATAGAAATCTGTAGTTTTACATTTTGCAGTTTTTCACAACATATTTCTTGGTTATTTGATATTAAAGTGGTAATCACTTTCAATTTCTAAAGTATTACCATCGCTTTTTCTCATTATAACCCCAATATTACCACCTTTTTACCTTTCGATAATAGAAAGCACAACCAGCATTACGAAGGGTGATATCAGTTTTCTTTAAATTACTATCTTAAAATGACAATGTTGTGGTGCAAAGTAACAAAAGCTGACCTTTTGTGTAACAGCTAACTAAGAAAGAAAAAAAGCTTCAAATTGTAGAACACTATATTCATGTTCAGGGCATCATGTGGGAGGAAAGCTAGTGAGGGTTCGATGCAAATGGTAAGGGCCATTCCAGATTTAGAGAAAAATCCCTTGATGGATGCTGGTATTTCTGGCTTTCTCTGAAAAGCAAGTTAATTTTCTTTTATTTTTAATTTACTGTGGGCTGAAATTCTTATAATTCATTTTAATGAAATGGTTTAGCAGAAAATGGTATCACCCACACTTTTCCACTCATATTTTTTGCAGTATGTGGCCTTTTAATGGTTTCTCACTTTTTGACTAAAACTTGCCATGCATGCGTTATCTGGCAGAGTGAACTTTGGACATTCAACTTTTGGACGGCCGTCTGACAATACAGATCTTCTTGTAATAACATAATATACATCGAGAAACAGTGAAACCCCCCGGGGAAGTGGGTGCAGTAGGGTTGGGTTACCTTTCTGCAGGGTATCACTATGCTCCTGACAGCAAATGGTGTCAGGTTTAATTGGAACAAGCATAAAGTAATGGAGCGTGTCAGATGGCTTCCACTGAGCCTGAGAGGAGGTATGGCTTCTAGGTTTCTCCATGGTTGGAAGGTCAGTGAGAGAGGGAGAAACACAAGCGTCAGATGCGAGCAGACATAAAATGGAGAAGAAGAAAAAGAAATCATAATATTTGTTTTACTTTATTTAGTGCAAATCAAAGATGACGAGTGGAACATTTGTATTCCTCTAAAGGATTATGAAAAATTTCCACGCATTCACCAGCTTGCAACAACTGTGAAAAATGTAAAAGGTAAGGGTGAAAATTATTTTTTTGATATTTTATATTATCCAATGAAACAACTGTGGACAGCAGCACCTAAGTACTAAATAATTATGACAAATAATAACCATAAAAAAGGCACAGCTGTGGGTCAAGAGATGCACAAACATGTAAGGAATCAAGGAGGTGAGGGAAAACACAATGAAACACAAAGGTGTTGTAGGGCGAAAGGCTTGTGTTACCGTGGCAAAAATCAATTTAAATGGAAAAAAACAATGTGGGGTAGCCTAACAGAGTAAGCCAGCAATCATATAAATAAAGAGGGAATATGTGAAGGCAAAAAGTTGACATAAATCTCTCTTTAAAATCGAATTGAAGACACTGTAGTACCTGTAACTGCTCCAAAGGTGCATGGGCAATGTTAGTGTAAAGCTGTGCTCCAGGTGTCACGTTGTTATTTGCCTTCACCTAATTCACAAAATGCTCCTGAAGTAACGACAGTTGATGCATATTGAGCAAGGGTGTCAAATATGAGGCTCTGGGGACAGAATCAGGACTCCAATCCGGCCCAATGGATATCTTTGGAAAATATGAAGGAGGGTATACATTTTGGAAAAACTGTATTTTCATTTATAGTCTTTTATAATACGTACAATAAAAGTGATAGATGACATAAAAATTCCTGGTACTGCTAATTTCAATTTTCTTTTGTCCCTCAAAACCTTTAATTACAGGACAGTTTGGGAAATTCTACACATCTATTTACACATCTATTTGTTTTTTAATTATTATTATTTATTTATTTATTTTTTACAATTTAAGCCCAAAGAGTCATGCTGACAGATTTATTTCATTAAATAGAGCAGCATTTCTTTATCATGAAGTAAAACTAAGACATGCTGTTGAAATCACAGAGATTAAACTTGCAGCTAAACTTATTTAGGGGGATGTTTACTGGTCTGGCCAGGCCATAAGTGCTATATGTGGCCCCCAATTTATAATGTGTTTCACATCCCTGACATAGAGAAATAAGCAATTAAAATGAACGAGCATTTCCTTAGACATTTTTTATAAACGTGCTGCTCTAAGCTATTCTTTTGTTTCAGCCCAACCTCCTCCCACCATCCATGCAGCCCCGAGTCACAGCCGCCTCCCACATTAAATGAATTATTGTATGCTTCTATAGAATGACAGACAGATTACTTTCAAAATGCCAAATAAAAACAATTCAAGCATTGTTTTACCACTTAATCAGAGTGTCACAAAGCAGGGCGACACAAAACAGATGTGTTCACAAACGAGAAAGAGAAAAACAGTGCAGTTGTTTGCTCACGGTCTTACCTTTTGTAAATGATTTCTTGATATCAGTCACTCCCAGATATTTCCCCTGACAGACTGGATCCTTCAATTGATTTTGGGTTTATTGCTGAACAGTTAGCAGCCCAGCGGAAACATGAAACAGGTTTCTGTTAAATCAGTTCTCATATTGTTGACAAAATGTCTTTAAATGTGGATACATACTGTGGAAGTAGCCACGCCACCATCAGGTGCTGTACACCATCATTAGCCATAGTGCTAATAGTATTTGCTGTGATTAAGCTCCTCTTAGCACAGTTGCACTCATCTTGCTATTGTCGCTTCCTTTTTTTTCCTTATCTGTGTCTTCCGTTACTTGAAAACCAGATTGCTGCCATTCTGTCATCTTTCTGGCAGCTGGTAAACCCGCTATAAATAAAGCTCAAAAGTTCTCCACTGCTTTAACAGCTGTTTAGATTTTATTCCAATTTGATATACATTTACTGATACAAAAAGTCTGGCTCCCTCATCTTTTTAAATATAGCGTGCACTTTCAACCACTTAAGTTAAGATTCCCCCCACATGCAACATATATAAATGATCTTAAGTAATGTGAGCTCGGCTTAAGGTTAGAAATAATAGATCAAAGCAAGAAATTCGACTGCATCGATTTTGATTCGTGTGTTACTTGTGATGGTAATATCTGATGAGACGGATGCTGTGCTGTTGCATCAGAGGGGTAGTGATGAAAATAGATGGCAAACAGCGGAATGAGCAAAGAGGGATTCTAGCATGACTAAATCATAAAAAACACGAGGGCACAGACAGTTTCCAGAGCTGCTGCCGGAATGATCAGACTTCGAAAATAATCTCACTTATTAATGCATCTCTGAACAATCGCTCTACCTTGACATATGCAAACCTTCGGGGGCAGAGAGTTCTATAGCTCTCCACTGGGTGTTGCTCGTCAGTCTGAGTTTGAGAGCACTGAGACCCCCTCTTAGATGTATGGGGATTTCGTGTAGCTGTACCTACAGCATCTCCATTATGGACTTCTTTCCTGTAAAGCACGGGCAGTCTGCTGACAGCTACCTGCACATCAGGAACATTGTTCTACAAATGTTACACATGCAGGGAGTTCCTGTTTTTAATAAAGCTGAAATAGTACTTTCACACTTTGCACAAGGTGAGGAAACAAATCACAGGAATAATTAGTTTTCTCTGAATTTGGAAGGGAGAGCAGTGAACCAACAGAGCAGCTGACACTGACGGCAATTTAGTCCTAAGCATAAAAATATTTAAATAAATCAGCTAAAGCATTTATACTGCGCCGATGATGGCGATGTGGTGTGTACACTATTGAGGCAGGACGCATGTTTCTTAAAGCAGAGTACTACAAAGCTCCTTTTTCCCTGCTTGAACTTCAATAGAAGCTGTTTGCTCTCATCCATTGTTCCTCCTCTCCGCTTCTTGCTCCCTTGGCAGGAACAGGCATTTAGCCTCTGTGCCTCCTGTTTGCTGAGCCAGTGACAGTTTGCACCGCAGCACTGCTGTGGGAATAACTCCCTGCCTTCACCTTAACACCTTAGGGACCTTCCACTGCAGGGCACAGTCAGTTAAATCAAAGTGCAACAGGAAGATGCTGTACATACAGCGGATATACTGTGTTTTCAGTGGTTCGTGCAGACACATGTTACAAATGGACTGATGAATGGAATTTTTTCGTTCAGTGTAAGCCTTTGGCAGGAGAAAGCATTTAGCCACTTTTCCACTAGTACCTACTAGGCTTGTGTAACCCAGAGTAATTTCCTGCACTTATTTCCTGCCATTGAATGCATCACAAATGCATGACTCCAACCACATGACTTTGCTCAGCCAATCGAATGGCATGTAGGTCATAGTAAGCCTGTCCCGGCTTCCTCCCGTCAGATGCGTGGAGGCAAGCCAGGTGACAGAGCTGTTGCAGGTGTGTATTGGCAAACATTTGCTTTTCCCGTTTTAATGCATTTTTTTAACACCAACTAACTTATGCAACTTAGATGCTGATTACTGTGAGCCAGAGCCATAATGTTGTTGTGCACTGAACAGAACGGAATTGGTGAGTTTGAACTTTTAATTGACTGTTTGTATTGCTACCAGCTGACCCTAATCGGCTGCTGCCGGTCCAAACAATTTGATTTTGATTTGACTGATAGTTGTTGAATAACAAATGTTGTGGAGCTACATAGTATGTATGTATGTAGCCGTTGAAATGTTTTCAGTTAAATCCTTATTGGTTAGAAATATTATATTTAACCAATATATTGTTTGTTTATTTTTATAAATTGTGTACACAGGAACAAGAATAACTTAATGTATTTAGCTTAATTGGCTGACATTTTTGTATGTTATTCTTGTGATTTCTTATTGGCCTTGTTTATTTAATGCAGGCCAGGTGAACCTTTTTTGGGTATGGAAAAGGATGGCGAGCCAATGAACGGCTAGGAGCAGGACTCACTCTGCATTGAAGCTTCCACTGGACTGGTAGGAAGCTATCAAAGGCGACGCTCTGTCCCGTAATTTCCGAATACACTGATTTCCACAATCATACACACCAGTTCCCCCGTTTATGGACAATAGCGCTTGGACATCTCTCATGGATATTCAGATAAAACTCATGGACTTCAGTGTGGATCAGTGTTTTCGATGTTAACATGTGTTATTTATGGGGAACTTTTTTTGAGAATCTATATTGCTTGGTATAAGCCAGAAGAATTTGCTTAGTTGTTTTTGTGCACCCCCACTGGGTTTTTCTATTAATTAAATAGCTACAGCAGGAATGATTATTTAAGCTTTCATTTTCTTTTCTTAATTTTCTTTGCTTTCGGTTAAATACATGGTACCTGCAAAAGCATTTTGTGTTGTGTGTATTTAATTACTGCCCATCAGCTCCAGTAACATTCCTAAATCTTCTGATTAATAATAATCACACTCAATCCCTAGCCTGTATTAACTCATTAGCGCTACATCAGTGTTACATTTCTTGGCGAGCCAGCCAGGAGCTGATTTGGTTAGTAATTAATATATATTCAAACTCACCAATTCATTTTTCCCCATAATGGAAGTTTTTGAGACACTTGCCATTAAGATCCCAAATGCGGTTTTAGTTGACGGAGTAACTGAGCACTCAGTTAATGAAGTTGTACTTTTCCTTGAACAGTATGGTGACATAGCTCGCAAGGTTACTATAGATTCACCAGAATCTGAATTTAATGACATGCTTGTCGCTGAGTACGCTTCGGGTTTATCTTTAACGCGGTTGTCTCAGTTGCTACCGCACACATCTATGTCAGATTCAGGTGACAAACTCCATATTGAAAGTCTATCTGAAGTTTATGCATCAAGAGTTAGTGGTTCCAAGACAAATACTTACTTGGCAGACTTAAAAAGAATAGCCAAATTATCTGGGAGGGATTATGCAGAAGTCCTCAGTGAGGGGATGACCCAGATACGTCGGTCCCTTGCAGAGCTCAACCCAGAGACTCCAGTGGTTGCAAAACCAGAACTAGAAGATTCAAACCCTCCCGATTCAGTCTTTCCTTCTTCACTACCAGCCCCTCTTCCATCTAAGTCCCCTTCTGTTACCAGTAGTGCTGAAGCGCAAGGCGGAGAGAGGCATTCTGCCTCCATTCCAGCGGCTGATCTCAACCCTCCTGAAGTACAACGCTATGTTGTGGAACACGTTGTTCGGAGTGGGGACAGCTTGCTGCATGCATTCCATCGACTGAGAGCGTTTTCTGGTAAAGTGCCCAGGCCAATCCAAGAGACAGATTATGATATATGGCGGTCAGGGGTCGAATTAGCCCTGAAAGATCCATCTATATCTGATCTGCAGCGCACCAGACTGATTCGTGACAGTCTACTGCCTCCTGCCTGTAATATGGTAAAGCATCTCAGCCTTGACACACCACCAGAGGTCTATATGAAACAACTTGACTCAGCCTATGGCACTGTGCAAGATGGAGATGAGTTATACGCCAAGTTCATGGACACCTTCCAGGACAGCGGAGAAAAGCCTTCGGCCTATTTGCAACGTCTGCAGGTGGTATTACAGCATGCAGCAAAAAGAGGGGGTGTTTTAGAGAAAGACATAGACAACCGACTGTTGAATCAATTCTGCAGGGGATGTTGGGATAACAATTTAATATCGGAACTCCAACTTAAGCAAAAGAAGCACAACCCCCCCCAAATTTACTGAGCTTCTATTACTCCTTCGAACTGAAGAGGACAGAGAGGCAGCAAAGACATTAAGGATGAAACAGCATTTGGGACCGACAAAACAGAAAGCCACCACTAATGCCCAGTTTGCCAATACTGGAGAAGAAACTAACCTCTGTGCTGCGCTAACCACTCTGACTAAACTGCTCTCACAACAGATGGCAGCTATACAACAGCAGCTTTCAGCTTTGACAGCACAGCAGTGTAATGTCAAACCACCGGTTGCTGCCTGCCCAGCTCCAAAGCTCTATGGGCCAAAGAAGGTTGGTAAGAATCCAAAACCTAGCGTCTCCAGCCCTAAACCAGGGTTTTGCTTTCGCTGTGGAGAAGATGGTCACATTAAGCCACAATGTGAAAATGCACCCAATTCAGCATTGGTAAGTGCCAAGCGGAAGCAATTTGACAGCAAACAAAAGTGGCAGAAGCGAAAGTCCTCTGCTTCTGAGGATTTAAACTAGTTCCAGTTCCTGTTGAGGGGCAAACAGGAGCTGAGCTGGACCAACCTTGTCCCGCTGAGAACAAAAAGCATGCCAAGTGTGCAAAGTCGCAGACAAAGATCCACACTAGATTACCACCAGGATTAGTTGGATCCAGATGTACAGCAGAAGTCAACATTGCAGGTTGCAACTGCCCGTGTCTACTGGATACTGGTTCCCAGGTTACCACAATTCCAGTTTCATTCTATAATGAGCATCTCTCCGATCAGCCAGTCCACCCACTGAATGAGCTTCTTCATGTGGAGGGGGCTGCCGGTCAATGTGTTCCATACCTTGGGTATGTTGAGGTTGCCATGACATTTCCAAAAGACTTTCTTGGGAGTGACTTCCCAGTTCAAACGCTTGCACTTGTTGTTCCTGATGTGAGACCTGATTATCCAACCTCAGTACTTGTTGGCATGAATACACTTGAAATTCTTTATGAACAATTCTCTTCTAGTAACTGTTCATCATTCCAGCCTACCTCTTACGGGTACAGAGCAGTTCTGCAAACTCTCCAAGTGACATACCAACAGAATTGGATTGATCATCTTGGTGTTGTGACGACCCTTAGTAAATCTCCTGTGCTAATTCCAGCTGGCTGCACAGTTGTGGTCGAGGGTTCTGCCAAGCTTCTCAGCCCAGCTAGTCAATGTGTTGTCATTCAGCACCCGGGTTCAGGCCTGCCGGGTGGTTTGTGTGTCAGTAATTGTCTAGTCGCTCTTAAAGGTGGTACACATACTCAGGTTCCAGTTGTTGTGTCAAACAGAACAGAGCAAGACATCTACATACCAGCTTTGAGTGTCATTGCAGAGCTGGGAGCCTATGACTGCATAGTCTCTGAGCACAGTGTGACCAACCCCCCAGATCGGGAGATGGTGTCAAGACCACTCACCTTCAAATTTGGCGAGTCACCAATACCAGCAGAATGGAGAGAACGGATCACAACAAAACTAAATGCCATGTCTGAAGTTTTTTCACATCATGACTTGGATTTTGGTTGCACTAAGGAAGTGAAGCATCACATCAAGCTCCATTACAATACCCCTTTTAAACACAAAGCAAGACCTATTCATCCCCAGGACATAGAAGCTGTTCGTAAACATCTTCGAGAGCTTCTAGATGCTGGTGTTATCAGGGAGTCGGAGTCATCATTTTCATCACCAATAGTGGTTGTCAAGAAGAAAAATGGAGACATTCGACTATGTATTGACTACCGCAAACTCAACCTGCAAACGATTAAGGATGTGTACGCATTGCCCAACTTGGAGGAATCGTTTACAGCACTCACTGGATCGAAATGGTTCTCTGTGCTTGATCTCAAATCTGGTTATTATCAGATAGAGATGGATGAAGCTGATAAAGCCAAAACCGCTTTTGTGACGCCAATTGGGTTTTGGGAGTTCAACCGAATGCCTCAAGGAGTTACTAATGCACCTTCAACGTTCCAAAGACTCATGGAGAGGTGCATGGGAGACTTGCACTTGAAAGAGGTCCTCGTGTTTTTGGATGATTTGATCATATTCTCCAACACTCTTGAGGAGCACGAAGACCGTTTGCTGAGGGTGTTGAATCGCTTGAGAGAATTTGGGTTAAAACTTTCTCCAGAAAAATGCAAATTCTTTCAGACATCCGTCCGATACTTGGGCCACATTGTTTCAGAAAATGGTGTTGAGACAGACCCAGAAAAGGTTGCCACCTTGAAATCCTGGCCAATTCCAACCAACCTGAAGACCTTGAAATCTTTTCTGGGATTCGCTGGCTACTATAGGCGTTTTATTAAGGGATATGCCATGATTGCCAAGCCACTCAACAACCTCACACGTGGATATCCATCCACACACAAAAGCTCCAAAAATGAGACTTCTAAGAGCTCACAGTTTGATCCCAAGCACTCCTTTGGTTCCAGGTGGAGTCCTGAATGTCAGTTGGCTTTTGATACCCTCATTGACAAACTTACCACTGCACCAGTTCTAGGTTTTGCTGATCCGGCACTGCCTTATATTCTCCACACAGATGCCAGCACCAACGGATTGGGCGCTGCCCTTTACCAAGAGCAAGAGGGGAGACTTAGGGTGATAGCCTATGCTAGTAGGGGGTTGTCATCCAGTGAAAGTCGTTACCCAGCTCACAAGCTTGAATTCTTGGCACTGAAGTGGAGCGTGACAGAAAAATTTCATGATTACTTGTACGGAGCAAGCTTTACAGTGGTCACGGATAACAACCCACTTACCTATATCTTGACATCAGCAAAGTTGGATGCTACCGGCCATCGTTGGCTGGCTGCTCTTTCTACATTCTCGTTCAAGATACGGTATCGAGCAGGCAAGCAAAACCTGGATGCAGATGCACTTTCCCGTCTGCCCCATGATGGTACTTCCTCTGGGGAACCTGCTCAAAAAGATGAGGAGCTAATTAATCAGTTTACTCAACATCTCTCAAGCAGCAGTGATGGTGAAATATCAGCTGAAGTTGTCGATGCGATTTGCCAAAGTGGTGTTGTCAGGACCCAAGCTGAGAGTAGTTTGGTTGAATCCCTGTCCATCAACACAGCAGTGCTTCCTGAGAATTACTCAGAAGATTCACATGGACTTCCTGTTATTTCCACCATATCCCATTCTGAGCTTTATGAAAAACAGAGAACTGATCCAACTCTTCAGGAGGTTATTCACCAGTTGGAGTCAGGAGAAAGAGTTCCTCTGACAGCCAGGAAAGAGCTTCCTGAAATTCCTCTTCTCCTTCGCGAACTGAACAAATTGGAGCTGATTGATGGTATCCTCTATAGGATAAGATATGAAAATGAACAACCATCATACCAACTGGTCCTTCCGACAGAACTGCGGCAAACTGTTCTCCACAGCCTCCACAATGATATGGGCCACCTGGGAGTGGAACGGACCCTTGACCTTGCCAGGACTCGGTTCTATTGGCCAAGAATGGCAGTGGATGTGGAAAATAAAATAAAAACCTGTGGCCGGTGTATTCGCCGGAAAAGCTTGCCGGAGAGAGCTGCTCCTCTGGTTAACATTCGGACATCACGTCCGCTTGAACTCATTTGTATGGATTTCCTCAGTCTCGAGCCCGATACCAGCAATACCAAAGACATCCTGGTACTGACAGATCATTTTACCAAATATGCCCTTGCCATTCCAACACCAAACCAAAAGGCAAAAACTGTGGCTAACTGTCTTTGGGAAAACTTCATTGTTTATTATGGAATTCCAGAAAGACTCCATACAGATCAAGGGCCAGACTTTGAGTCGAAATTGATAAAGGAGTTATGCGCCCTGTTGGGAGTCCAGAAGTGTCACACAACACCGTACCATCCAAGAGGAAACCCAGTAGAGAGGTTTAATCGCACTCTACTGGCTATGTTGGGAACTCTTGAATCCAAACAGAAATCCAAATGGAAACAGTTTGTGAAACCACTTGTCCATGCCTACAACTGTACCAAAAATGAAGTCACTGGCTACACCCCATACGAACTAATGTTTGGACGTTGTCCTCGTCTCCCCATTGACCTCGCTTTTAATCTTCCTGTACGTGAGAAAGAACAACAGACACATTCACAGTATGTACAAGACTTAAAAGCTAGGTTGAAAGAAAGTTATCTGCTATCTTCAAAGAATGCTGCAAAGAACGCTGAGAGGAACAAGACTCGATTTGACCAACGTATTATACTGTCCAAGCTAGAAGTTGGAAGCAGAGTTTTGGTACGGAACATGAGGCTGAGGGGTAAACATAAACTTGCTGACAAATGGGAAAATTCCTGTTGTTTCTTGGCCTGTTGACGAGTTAAAGAGGGTGTGATTGGAATAGTCTTATCTGATGGTCCTGAGTACTTTGTTGAAGAGAATGTATTTGAACCGACCTTTGTCCACCTTGCCCCGCTCCCAATGGAGTTTAGAGTGGAGAAGTCTCTCAACCCCCTACAGTCTTTTCCCAGTGGTGAGGAGGAAAGACTTCCTCCAACATCTACACCTGAAATGGAATCAGCTGGAGAAGCTCTGTCAGGATCCCAGAGGGAAGACCCATTGGAGTTTGACGCTGATGAGACATCGGGGGAAGATTTGCTTGAAATCTTACCCGAACCCATTCTTGAAACCGTGTCTACAGACTTGTCCGATCCTGGAGTCTCTGACAACTTAGCGGCCGAGCCTAGTCCTGTGACATTACCAACTCTTAATTGCTCAGATTCGGTTATTGACCCCCCTTTGAGGCGGTCAACGCGTCACAGATCACCACCTAGGCGACTGCAGTATGCCCGCTTAGGCAATCCATTGATATCAGTTGTTCAGTCTCTGTTACATAGTCTGTCAGATGCTTTGACCACCGCAACCACCAGTTCTAACCCTTCGGTCGTACATATTGTGTAGTGTTGTCATGCAACGGGACGTGCATGTGCTCTAGGGGGGAGGGTGTAACCCAGAGTAATTTCCTGCACTTATTTCCTGCCATTGAATGCATCACAAATGCATGACTCCAACCACATGACTTTGCTCAGCCAATCGAATGGCATGTAGGTCATAGTAAGCCTGTCCCGGCTTCCTCCCGTCAGATGCGTGGAGGCAAGCCAGGTGACAGAGCTGTTGCAGGTGTGTATTGGCAAACATTTGCTTTTCCCGTTTTAATGCATTTTTTTAACACCAATTAACTTATGCAACTTAGATGCTGATTACTGTGAGCCAGAGCCATAATGTTGTTGTGCACTGAACAGAACGGAATTGGTGAGTTTGAACTTTTAATTGACTGTTTGTATTGCTACCAGCTGACCCTAATCGGCTGCTGCCGGTCCAAACAATTTGATTTTGATTTGACTGATAGTTGTTGAATAACAAATGTTGTGGAGCTACATAGTATGTATGTATGTAGCCGTTGAAATGTTTTCAGTTAAATCCTTATTGGTTAGAAATATTATATTTAACCAATATATTGTTTGTTTATTTTTATAAATTGTGTACACAGGAACAAGAATAACTTAATGTATTTAGCTTAATTGGCTGACATTTTTGTATGTTATTCTTGTGATTTCTTATTGGCCTTGTTTATTTAATGCAGGCCAGGTGAACCTTTTTTGGGTATGGAAAAGGATGGCGAGCCAATGAACGGCTAGGAGCAGGACTCATTCTGCATTGAAGCTTCCACTGGACTGGTAGGAAGCTATCAAAGGCGACGCTCTGTCCCGTAATTTCCGAATACACTGATTTCCACAATCATACACACCAGTTCCCCCGTTTATGGACAATAGCGCTTGGACATCTCTCATGGATATTCAGATAAAACTCATGGACTTCAGTGTGGATCAGTGTTTTCGATGTTAACATGTGTTATTTATGGGGAACTTTTTTTGAGAATCTATATTGCTTGGTATAAGCCGGAAGAATTTGCTTAGTTGTTTTTGTGCACCCCCACTGGGTTTTTCTATTAATTAAATAGCTACAGCAGGAATGATTATTTAAGCTTTCATTTTCTTTTCTTAATTTTCTTTGCTTTCGGTTAAATACATGGTACCTGCAAAAGCATTTTGTGTTGTGTGTATTTAATTACTGCCCATCAGCTCCAGTAACATTCCTAAATCTTCTGATTAATAATAATCACACTCAATCCCTAGCCTGTATTAACTCATTAGCGCTACATCAGTGTTACACTTGGCTCGGTTTGACTCCAGCCGTTTTTCCATTTCGACTGAGTACCATCTCAGTGTGCGTGGAGTCGTCATAGCAACGTGTCCGAAAGTCCATGACGTCATTTGCATTCGACACAAATACAACACAACAATGGAGGACATCAAGGTGATGGTATACCTGCTGCTTGGTTTATGCATTTTTGTCAGACTCTGGGAGTATGGTGTTGGTTTTTGCACTGTCATTTCCCTTGTTGCTAGGTTGTAGGTGCTTGTGGAAAAGGACTATTTGTTGTAAAAAAACCTGGAAAAAATAGCTGAGGGTCTCAGACTTGGAGACGTTGTGCTAACAGAAGTCTGCTAATATTATGCAATCCGAAGCAGTGTTGGCCTGTTGTGAGACTGCTAAACAGGCCAGCTTTGAAAAGAACGACTGTAGTGGAAAGTGTGTAGCCCAACTTGTTTTAGTAAAAAACAAAAGGGAAACCACTTGAGATGTAATTTGCTTGTCAAGGAACTGGAACTGAGATACTGAAAGCAGAAGTGCACACACTCATTAAGGTTCATAAAGGTTGTTTTCTAACAGTGCTGATGACATTAGTGTGAGCACTTCAGGCTTAAGAGTCATGTGCTTGGCTGCCTTGAAGCTCAGCCACAAAAAAACTTTGTGTGTGTACGCGCGTTTGTGCGTGAGTGTCTGAGTAATTCTTTATGACCATGTCTGAGTAGGTGCTCAGATAAGTCAGGGGTATTTAACCAGTCAAGCTGCTGAAGGCAGAAGATGTAAAGATATGTTAAGAGGGAAGGTCTCCTCTCTCTTACAGGCAGGCAGGCACACACACACACACACATTGAGTGTGCTTCCTCACTGTGTGCAATACTGTGCAGTGAGAAAGAGCAAAGAGGGAACACATAAGTGTATCTGGCAACAACACCCCTAAACATCTTGTTTATGCTGACCTCCTACAATTCATAATCTCGATAAAGAGATATAGGTGTACTCACATGATGATGACGACATCGCTGATTGTATGATTACAGGCACAGGACCGTTGGCCCGTACCACTAGAACGACCAATGGCAGGCTTCATCACAGGAAACAGAAACTACTCCAACAAACAAACAAATCTAAATACAATTTTTGGGAAAGTAGGTAGTTTACAGACCAGATTAAAGTGTGAGTGATATATTTATGTAGAAGTTAATAACAGGTGTAAAGGGAGGGGCAGGGCCGGCTGCATAGGAAAAGGATGGAAGAAAAGTTTTGTGGAAAGATCAGGACGAATGAAGTTCAATGAAAAAGCAGGAGTGAACGGAACAAAGAGAAGAACAAAGAAGGATGAAGAGGGGCAGTGACGATACTTTGATATTCGAGAACAATGCCTTGCTGTGTGCAAGTGTAAAATAAGCATGGGTGGGAACAATGTGGCTCTTTGATAGTCTACCTTTTACCAGTCTTTTATCCGACTTGGATAATTGCCTCAAGCATGAGAAACACAAATATACAACATTGTTAAGCATGCCAATATCATACACATCTGGAAGTACTAAAGAATACCATGGACGTGCAATTTAAACACACGCCACAGTGAGCTTTCCACATGGTAGTGCCCTCTAGTGGCTGTGCAGGATAGAGCTGTGGGTGGATGGATGGGTAGGCTAAAAAAAGGACTTCTGCAGCAAAGGCCACGGTTCAAAGTGATTTACCAACAGCCTTTGCATAGCCCTAAATATTTTTAGTGTCACCATGGTGACAGTGGGTCATCTATTTTAATCAAAACTAAAAAATTTGATGATTCCCTCTAAGCAAGCACTTAGATGCCATGGAAAAGACAAAGACCCCTTTTATGGTATAAGCCCTCTGACATAAGCAGGCTCAGGGCCGCCATTTGCGGTGACTTGTCTGATCATTTTTTTTCTTTACTAAGACTTGCAGGCACTCTTATTGATAGGTTTGTAGCTTGAACCTATTCGCTGGAACGTTGAAGACAATATAATTACACAGCAAGCAAGACACGAAGTAGGCAAAGTTCTTCATGTTCCTTGTGCACGGGAGAGAACCGGACAAATGCCGTTCCTTCGCTTGACCCCAGTTGCTCTCGTCCGTTCTCCCGTAACACTGCTCTTTTATTGAGGTTACATGAATATGCATAGGTTCATTAACATATGACATCTACATACACACAAAGAGTACTGTGTGTGTGTGTGTGTGTGTGTGTGTGTGTGTGTGTGTGTGTGTGTTCTTGAAGCTGCCTTTCCTACACATTTCTCTGCTATTATTTGATCATTTCTTAACTAATGTGCTATGAGTCCACTGGTCTTTGCATCACACTAAGTGAATTGGACAAGATGATAAACAGACTCACATGCTTAAGATGTCGTCTAATCTTCATGAGCTCTCTTGTGTTTGGAAGTGTTAGTAGGGTTAATGCATGTTCTGCTTGTGTGTGTGATTTTGTATATGTTTCTATTTTTGCAGTGTTTCAGACTCCTTCATAATTTTCCAACTTAAGCAGTCAGTTTTCTTTTCCCCAGGTTTGCTAACCCAAATTTTGATTTCCCACATTAAACACCAGCACTCCTCTGTGTTCTATTTACTCACTCTGTTGTCCTCTCCCACTTCAACAGTCCAATAGCCGGCAGTTCTCCTTCAGCTTTGTCCTGTGTTCCACTGTCTCTTCTTGCCATTTTCTCCAAAGGTGGCAAATGTCAAACTCCAACAGTCCCCTCAGTTCTTCTCAAAAGTTTTCTTCACATGCATAGTGAAGTTGCAGCTTGTTGTAAACACAGTGCCATTCATCCGATCAGTCAGGATGATGGGTTTGCTCTTCTTCTCCGATGCTGTTTGTCCATATTGCTGCTGCTTGCTGGGTCTCTTTGCTCAGGACTTTGCTGCTGTCTCTTTATCTGCCATGTTATTGCTCTTTGGAGCTGCATTCCTTGTCTTCAGGGAGGAGTGAGAGCTTGCTTGTGAGATTGAGAGACACATGGCACTGTAAATAAGTTAACCAGAAACTTGGCCTGAATGTTTCCAATGATGTTAAACTATAACTTTCTTCCGACCGCAGCATGTGGAAAATTGATTCAGGTCTGCTTTTCACCTGAAAGTGACAAACTAAGACATGTTCATTATTATCATCACAGCTTAATCAACACACATCTCTCTCTCTCTGTTTTTGTGAACAGTCCTTTCTTAAAAGCAGAAAATGAAATTGTAGTTGTTTTTGGCTGATCAACACAAAACCTTTTTCCTATTATTATTTTTTATCTACAATATAAATTCTCTTTTTCACTCTCCTTTTTTTTTCTCTTTACAATAGCTGGTGACCTGCAGAATCACCGCTCTCACAATCAGAGGCAATTACTTTTACACAGCGCACAAAAACACTGTGACGTCAGACACATTCACACTCACTTTTTCATCTGCATAAATAAATCATATGGCTGATGATATGTGCCATGGTGATCCATAGGCATGATCACAAGTTTATTTAATTATTTTCAACCCAACAAAACAAATAAACAAAAACATGATGCTGATGCTATGAACACTCCACACACATGAGTCAAGATGCAGGAAAACTTCTCACACACTCCAGTTATCATAGTTATCATAGTTCTGTTTCCCTCTCTTTGAGGAGTTCTCAGACAGCTCTCGATCTGATAATGTGTAGCTTGCTCATCAGCTCAGAAGAGTGGTTGCATGCTTTGCCCACAGTGGCAAAGTCTTGCACTTTCATATTCAATTCAGCTTCTCCATCATGTACTTTTAGATGTTTCATACAGGGTTCAGCATATTAGTTGTTTTCACAGGTGTGCTCTATATCTCAACAATGGCTCATAATAAGACGACAGTCTTTCACACAGGTCAAGTGCCTCTATGCACTTCATTAGTTTAAATATTTATCTATATCACTTCACCTCATATGTCATTGTACTAAATTTGAGCAACCCTAAGCAACCCAGTTGTGGGACACTAACCCAGTCGCGCGACAAAACCCAATGAAGGGACGCTTGGGACACAAACCCAGGGCGATTTCAAAACCGGACACTCACCGGACGCTTGGGCCCTTGGGCGATTTTACCAAAACCTCTTTTTCGGGACACTAACCCAGTTCTGCAGTTATAGAGTCGCTCTCTCAACTTACTCGGAGTTGCTTAGCGTGTAATATAGCCTCGAATCCCGCTGATCTTCATTCATCGAGGAGAAAAGACAGACAGTTAATCCACAGGAACTTCCTGGCTGACGTCAGTCTTTCAGTGTGTCTCTTCTCCCCTCGGTGAATGTCGATTCCAGGGCTCCGGCTCTCGAAGGACCAATTAATGATAGGTTTGTAGCTTGAACCTATTCGTTGGAACGTTGAGGACAATATAATTACACAGCAAGCAAGACCCGAAGTAGGCAAAGTTCTTCATGTTCCTCGTGCACGGGAGAGAACCGGACAAACGCCGTTCCTTCGCTTGACCCCAGTTGCTCTCGTCCGTTCTCCCGTAACACTGCTCTTTTATTGAGGTTACATGAATATGCATAGGTTCATTAACATATGACGTCTACATACACACAAAGAGTACCTTGCCTTTGTGTGTGTGTGTGTGTGTGTGTGTGTGTGTGTGTGTGAGGTCAAGATGTGACCCTGTGAAGACTCCCCAAAGCTAGTGCCAGGAGTCTAGCGGGTCCATCTGAACAAAAGGCTCTTATACTTAAAGAGATATACGTGTGTTTGCTATACCATATATCAACAAAGAGAAGATAGGACCTCTCTTATGCTCCTAGGATGTGGGTGTGCATTCCACTCTAGAATGCACACCAAACCTTTGCAGCCTGCTAAAGATCACAGTCCTATCACTACACAATTGATTATACACCTCTAAGCATATATGGTTAAATATTTCTAAGCA